ACAGGGCTCCTAAAACCCTTGGAATCTTAGTAAGAGTCTTGTTTGGTAATGAGACTGCTGGTGATTGGTAATCCCTAGAAAGCTTTGGGATGAGGGCTGGTTACCCAGAAAGGCCAAGGCAGGAGTAGAGGGCTGGGACTTGCAGTGCCCTTCCCCAGGCTCCAGGAAAGGGAAAGGGGCTGAAGATTGAGTTGATCACCAAGGGCCCGTGGTTTAATCCAGCATGCTGGCATAATGAAGCCTCGATAACAGCCCCCCCAAATGACAGGGTTCAGGGAGCTTCTGGGTGGCTGGGAGGGTGGTGCACCCAAAGAGGGCGTGGGAGCTCTGCACCCCCTCCCATGTGCCTGGCCACATGTATCTCTTCATCTGGCTGTTCATCTGTGTCCTCTGTAACCATATAGTAAAGTGTTTCCCCAAGTTGTGAGCCATTTTAGAATATTAATAGAACCAGAGGAAGGGGTCATGGGAATCCCAACTTAAAGCTGGTTGGTCAGAAGCACAGGCCATGCCTGGACCTGCAACTGGCATCTGAAGTGGGCATGTCCTGTGGGACTGACCCCCAGCCTGGGGGAGCTGAGGCTAAGGTGCAGGACAGCCAGCCAGTGTCCACCAGAGAGCTGCTTGGCCTGCGTATGGGAACACCAGAGGTGAGAAGTGTGTGGAGACCCAAGCGCATGAGAGGACCAAAAACACTGACTTTTCTTGTCCCTGTGACCTGCCTGGAGAAGGGATCAGCCACCACCAAAGAGCTTGGGCCCATCTTCATCAGAGCAACAAGGTGGGGGAGGCAGGAGGGAACAGGGACACAGAAGTCTCGGGGATAGCCCCAAAGTGAAAAGTAGAGGGAGTCCTAGGTCTTCTGGGAAACAGAGATTAGAACATGAGCCTGGGATGAAAAGGGGGTTTGGACAGGGGAGTTAATAACGACCCCCAGAACCTGGCTGCTAGGGGGCAGGGGCAGGGGGTAAGGCCCATGCTGGGTCACAGTCAGTTGCTGCTGGGAGGTCAGGGAGGTGAGGGCTGGAGAGCCAGCCACCCCCCACCCCAGGCTCGCATGTAGGGGTTACGAGAGCCAGTCTGACTCCAGGCAAGTCAAGTGTCCTTGGGAATTTAAGGGGCAGATGGATGAGAGAAAGTAGAGCAGCAAAAGGGCCTGTGGTCTCCTCAGGGGCCGAGCTAATTTAGGAAGGTGCTCCTGAATGGCAGGGAAAAACAGGTCCATGTGTGAAGCCTGGGGAAAGGTGGAGTGAGGCCTGACCAGCCCACGACGGGCTGTCATGGCTCAGGAGGCTGGAGCTGGCTCCACATCTCAGACCAGACTGCTCAGGAATGCTTGTGTGCTATTCCCGGTAGACCTTCCCTAGTCCTGGCCACATGGCTTAACTGCTTAGGTGTTTATTAGGAACTGCGGGGATGTTTTGGTCCAGGCTTAGGTCAGAGCATTAGAACGGATACAGGTCCAGCAACCGAAATTGCCTAAGAAGACAGACTACTGTGAACCACAGATGCAGCGTGGGGAACATAGAATCCACCTGGAGATTCATCCACACAAATGGTGGGGAGTTTGGGCCTGTTTTATTTTTAAGACAGTGACTTAATTTCCCAAGGACACTTTATAAAATTGGGGTAGTTGGCCATATAAGCAGGTAAAGATTATTGGGTACTTCTTTTCTCAACATTTTATTATAAAAATATGATTGAGTGTCCATTTAAGAACATCCTTATACATGTATATTCTTTTTTCTTTTTTTTTTTTTTGAGACAGAGTCTTACTATGTCACCCTTGATAGAGTGACAGTTTACAGCAACTTCAAACTCTTGAGCTTAAGTGATTCTCTTGCCTCAGCCTCCCGAGCAGCTGGGACTATAGGTGCCTGCCACAAAGCCCAGCTATGTTTTGGTTGTAGTTGTCATTGTTGTTTGGCAGGTCCAGGATGGATTCGAGCTCGCCAGCTCCATTGTATGTATATTCTTTTCATTCCTTTCTAAAAGCGACTGCTTTTTTCATCCGCTTATTTTTTACATCAGTTACTTATGTGCCACCCACCTCAGTGTCAAGAAGGGCTGAGGTCCCTGAGAAACTCCCATTTTCTAGGCACCTGCATCAGGACTCACAGCTCTTTATGTTCCCTGACAAGACAGACCTGACAAGGAGACCAGCTCCACACCTCCCTTTCCACCCTTCCCCACTGCAATGACAGGCTATAAATGTGCACTCCAGTTTTAACTGAAAAGAACAAACTCTGGCTGAGGTAGAAGGAGTTTAAGACCAGCCTGGGCAACATAGCGAGACCTCATCTCTACAAAAAAAAAGTAAAAATTAGCTGGGTGTGGTGGTGCACACCTGTAGTCGCAGCTATTTGGGAGGCTGAGATAGGAGGACCCTTTGAGCCCAAAAGTCCAGGCTGCAGTGAGCTGTGATGACTCCACTGTACTCTTCTAACCCTAATCCTAATCCTAACCCCATCCCAGCTCTGCCACCTCCTGGCCACGTGACTCTGGGCAAATGAGAGCCACATGAGCCTCACAGCATGCCAAAACCAGAGTCCCTCCCACTTGAGGGGGCTAGGGTGTTCCTGGAAGCACAAGGGTTCTGACTCTAGGAAGGTAGGGCGTTGGCTGTCAACAGGAGAGGACACTGTGGGAGCACAGTGACCCAGGGAATTGGCCATGCTCACTGCTTTACTGAAGCCAGCAAGGGTCTCCAGAACCACGCTTCACAGTGCATTCCTCCCTGACTCACACCTGACTTTCCCAGGGCCCTGGTTGGAGTATACAGGACAAAGGCTAAATTCCTAAGTGCCTCCCTAGCAGCCAGCTGTCCTGGGGCGTGCCTGAGGACTTGATAACTGGGCATCCTCCACCTCCTTTCCAGGCCCAGCTCCTCATCTGGCTTTAGCACAGGGCAAAGCCCCCTCCTCCTAGAAGCCTACTGGCTCCTCTCCTGCCAGGCTGGATGTCTCCTCCCTCCCTGGGCTGCCCTAGCAGGGCAGTCTGCCTCTCGGCTGGGGTCCAGGGTCTGTCTTACCTCCCTGGGCTGTGCTTTTCCTGAGGCTGGGACTTGGTTTGACTCACACTGGGATTAGTGTCTGGTTCAGTTCAAGGGTGGTGATGGCTGCACTCAAGGCTGACTCGTTAAAGTGAATAAGGAGTGCCTCTGTGGTGAGCCCCAGCTATGGGCCGAGCCTTCCTGGATGTACAGCCACTAAACCCTGATGCAGAAGGGTGGGCTGTTTGCATCCTGGGATGCAGAGGGGGTTGTGCAGACACTGCAGCTTCAGACACTGGCCCTGTTTGGTTCCAGCTGAAATGGGGTTATCTTCACAAAGTTTAAGTGCTTCCATAGTGAGCGAGGACTGTACAATTCCTCTAGGGAAGGACTGTCTAAAGGTTCTTACTGGATCTTAAGTTCTACAAATGCCTTTTTAAAATTAGCAACTGTTCATTGAGCATGTACTAGTGCCAGATGCTGAGAGGGAATTAACTGGTTAGTCTGACAAGATTGCTCTTGTCATAACCCCATTCTAAAGATGAGGATACTGAGGGCTGGGAAACGTATGAACTCGCCCCAGGAAACAGGGCTAGGAAGGCACAGAGGGGCACCTTCAAATCCAGGCAGTGGGGTTTGTGCTGCATTCACACAGCACCCTCCTCACTGCACTGGAGTTCCGTGCATTTCATTTCTTTAAAAGAAGTTCTGAGAACCCCTGACTCAGCCCAGACTTCCCTCTTTACAGATGGGGACAATGGGGCCTGGAAACTGAGGGGCTCCTGGTGTGTGGCAGAATAAGAATTGGAACCTAGGCCTGTACTCAGTGCCGGGTTCTCCTGTGAGACCACAATGTGAGATGGCAGCGTGTGGAGCAGCAGCATGGGGGGCCAGGACAGGCGGAGTGGCCCCAGAGAGCAGCATGGGGGGCCAGGACAGGCGGAGTGGCCCCGGAGAGCAGCATGGGGGGCCAGGACAGGCGGAGTGGCCCCGGAGAGCAGCATGGGGGGCCAGGACAGGCAGAGTGATCCACCCAGGCTTCGCTGCTCAGGTTTCTCTGCTGAGAACGGTGATGTCTGTCACGCTCCTCCCTGATAAGGAGTGGGGAGTCTGAGGGGCAGAGTCTGATGCCATTCACGGCCTTAAGTCTGCAGGACAGGCAGAGGCATTGGGCTAACCTTTAACCTCATCTCGCAACCAGCACATGGGGCTTTACAAAGACACCTTCCACACCCGTCCCCGGACAGAGGGTAAGGAAGAGGAGTGAACAGGTGGGGTGCAGCCACAATGTCTGAGGAAAACAGAGACAGCCACATCCTGAATGATCAATGCAAGGTGACCAGACCAGCAAGAACATGTGACCGCTGAGGTTCCCAGCCACTGCACAGGGGGCTCCAGGGTGGCCTGTTGTGGGGCAGCAGGGGGTGACAGCCTTATTTTCACCCCAGGGATGACACTAATGCCTGTGGTGGACAGTATTCCTGAGCCTCCTGAGGCCCATAGCTGCTCCAGCTCCCCCAAATGATAATTCTAGGATATAATTCTATGGGGTCATTGCTGTATGGGGATGATAATTCTATGGGGTGATTGCTGTATGTTCTTAAAACACAGAACAGTTTCGTACATTCCTGCTCAGGCGCAGGCACCAAACTGAATTACTACAAATGCTCCATTTCATCAGTGATGAGAATTTTGAAACTAACTGTGTATCTGCACTTCCCACCCTGCTGGGCCTGACAAACTCCATGGTCACCTGCAGCACAGGTGTGTGGGCATGGGCAGTCACCACAGGCAACCCAATGGTCAGGCCAGACACTACAAGGCCCTTGCACTAGAGATGGGGGGGGGTCTCTGCCCTTGGCAGGGTGTATCACTAGTGGACATCGGTCCTGCTCTTTGTGACTCCAAGTATACCCAGGTCCCATGCAATACTTACACAGACAGCTCTGACTCGCACGTCACGTCCAGGAAAGACTTCTTTTAAATAAAGAAAAAAAGAAAAGAACTGTAGATTTCACCAGAGATTTTTATTTTAACCATATTAGGACCCTGACTTTCTGCTCCATGGCACTGAACATGGTCGGGCTCCTCTGCACACAGGAAGGAGCTAGGGGTCTGCGTTTCCCCCAAGTCCTGGTGGACTCAGGTAAGACGCTCACAAACACCTCCACTGCCCACTCACAGGGGGCCCCAGGGTGGCCTGCAGTGCTCAGAGCTGCCCCTCACTCAGCCTCTGATCGGCAGAATGGGGCCAGGCTTTGACCACAAGACAGGCTCCAGCAGCTGTGCACATCCCCCAGAGAAGGTCAGCAGGTGTTGAGCCTTAGTAGTGACCAAAGAAGAAATGATGCCTTGGAGTTTACATGGACACACACTTGGTTCTTATAAAAACAAATCTAACAGAGAAGTCAGTAGGGGCAACAGGGTGCCTGGAGGTGGGGAGGAGGGAGAAGCTTGTCTGTAAAGTGCTTTTGGGGCTTGAGAACCTTTTTAATCTAGTCTGGCACACTGCTTCACTCAGGAAGATCAGGAGTGGGTGCAGACTGCATGCAATTCCCAGCAATGCCTGGCATTCAGAGTGGACAGAGTTAACAGTGTCACCCCTTCATTGGAGTCCAAGCAGTCTATACACGAGCAGGTGTCTCCAAAGCCCTGGGTCTGCACACGCACACGCACACACATGGCATCAGCATGTGCTCGTCTGGCCCGCCGCAATGGCTCAGTCCTCACAGCAGCTCACTCTGGGACTGCTCCGACTAGCGGATTATTCTCACACTGCCGACAGGAACGGGAAGAAGAAGAAGTCGAAGGCAAACTTGATGGCGCCATGCACGGTGCTGCGCCAGTCGTGTTCGATCTTCACATGCCGTCTGGCTGGTGACAGCTGCGCCATGCAGTTGAGGCAGCTGATGGCCTTGAGCTCGAAGACAGGCCACTTGCTTCCCAGGCGGCCCTCGAGGATGGTGCTGAACTCGATGAGGCTGCCCTGGCGCAGGCTGAGCAGCACGCTCTTGAACTCGCTGCTGGCCCGCAGCACGATGTCCTTGGTGACGTCGTCCTCCTCACGGCTGCGGCTGCTATTGGCGGCGCTGCTGTAGGGCATGCCCACGGTGATCTCAAACTTGTAGCGGTCAAACTTCTTGATGTGGCAGGGGTGCTTGGCCAGGAGCTTGAGGCGGCAGAGCTCCTCCTCGGCCGTGGCAGTGCCGCTGGCGCTGCAGGAGGGGTAGGCCTCGCCGTACAGGCAGCGCATCCAGTCGCCCATGAAGAAGGGCAGCATGTTGATGGCCGACTCTGCACTGTTGTCGATCTCGGTAACACGAACATATTTGAAGCGGCCTGTCCACGTGACCCTGTGGCCCTCCAGGTGGCTGCAGAGGATCTGGGTACGTGCCATGTTGGTCTCCTTCCAGGCCCGCGGCCCGCACAGGGCACCGTACTGAGGCCAGGTCAGCGTGGAGTTGTAGACCTTCATGCCCTCTGAGCGGTACACGTAGAACCAGCAGAAGAGCACAATGGCTGTGAGCCACACCAGGATGAGCTTGACCACGGAGCTGCGCGTCAGGGACTTCACCATCCCCACCACTGAGAAGCTAGCCTTGGTCCAGCAGTGGACCAGCAGGGGGACGCTGCAGACTACCATGGTGACCGCAATCTTGGTGAGCTCCAGGGACATGAACCACTGGGCAAACTGCAGCAAGCCCATGAGGGTCAGGCCGGCCACCAAGATGGGCAAGGCAAAGAGGAAGAGGAAGTAGCCGACGGATGCTCGGACCAGCCCCAGCCCGGTGGACTCTAGCAGGATGACCACAGAGAGCTCGCACCACATGAAGCAGACCAGGTAGGGCACCAGGTAGCAGTAAGTGCCCTTGAAGTTCCGCAGCTGGGCCATGCGGAAGAAGAGGTACAGCAGGTAGACATAGAGGAGGCAGGGGATGCTGATGTTTAGGATGACCAAGTGGCCGACAGGCACGGTGAGGAAGGTCTGGCCGAGGACCTGCAGGTAGTACCCATCCAGGGGCATGGAGGGCAGCAGAGATAGCAGGCCAGCGGCCACCTCGGTGACCAGGGCTCTGCGTGTATAGGGCTCTGCGTGGCTGCTCAGGCTCAAGTAGCTGGTCACAGTGAAGAAAGTGGCAATGACCGCCAGCTCCGAGCAGGGCATCCAGTCCCTGCTGGCCAGCGGGAAGGAGAAGATGACAAAGAAGACCGACAGGAGGAAGTGGGCATAGGGCTCCAGGTGGTTCCAGCCAAAGTTGACCTCAGCCTGCTCCACGTCCAGGTTGGGCTCGAAGCGCAGCAGCAGGTCGGTGAGGGTGCGGAAGTTCTCCCAGGCCTTGCTGTCCTGGAACACCTTGAGGGTGCAGATCACCATGGAGATGAAGGACAGGTAGAAGACCACCAGTGGGATGAAGAAGGCGAAGAAGTCAATGGTCAGGTTGCTGATGATGAAGAAGAAGATGAGGGCATTGATGTGGTGCGTGGGGACGATGGTGGACAGCCAATGCATGCCCGCCCGGGAGGCCACGTCGATCAGGTACTCTTTGATCTCCATGATGGCATGCAGAGGGTACTTGACCATCTGGGGGTGGAGAAGGGCATTGGAATTGGGCCACAGCTGCTGCACCCAGCCACATTCAACTGCCTCCCACTGCATGCTTCCCTCCAGCCAACCCGGCTCTGGGCAGCGGGGGTGCCAGGCCCTAACCCAGTGGTCCTCCTACCTGTCACACCCCCTCCAGATGGCCTCCCCACACTCTGCGGTCCTTTCAGCCCTTCCCTCAATTCATCCTACCCTGCAGGTCAGCCTCTGTCTTCTGGGTCAGGGACCTGTCTCTGCTGCCTTCCTTATGCCTGGCTCCCCACCTTCTGAAAGGGTGACCAGGCCCGTGGGTGCTTGCCTCCCCTGTGAGACCTCCAGTACCAGAGGGACCCACCTGGCTTGCCGCTTCCCTTCCCTCTGGGCCTCCTGCTTGAAGAGACTGAGCCTGGGGTGCCCATCTGGGCCCTGCTGTGCCTCTTATCTCTCCACAGCAGCAAGGACATCACCTCCCTGGCCCTCTTGTGACATTACTGTACAAGACTAGGCTGGGCTCTAGAGAGAGGCAGATGGCCTAGGAGAGGAGGCAGCATAGGCATTGGAGAAAGAAGAGTTCAAAGCAATAGTGGACAGAGTGAAGAGGTGATGCAGCTTAACAGGGCAGCCAGAGCAGCTTTTTTTTTTTTTTGAGATAATCTCAGTTTGTTGCCCTCGGTAGAGGGCATGGCAACCTCAAACTCTTGAGCTCAAGTGATTCTCTTGCCTCAGCCCCCCAAGTAGCTGGGACTAAAGGCACCCACCACAACACCCAGCTATTTTTAGAGATGGGGTCTTGCTCTGGCTCGAACCTGTGAGCTCAGGCAATCCACCTGCCTCGGCTTCCCAAAGTGCTGAGATTATAGGTGTGAACCACCACATCCAGCCCAGAGGAACAGCTTTTGCTGGAGACTTGAAAAGCAGCTGCTTGCTACCACCCACCCACCCTACACACGCAGGATATGCACTTGCACCCACCCACCCCTGCATACATACACCTGTGCATACCCACCCTACATACATGCACACACACAAGCATATGTCCTCTGTACTGCTTCTAACAAACCAACCCACACAGCCACGTTCAAGGTCAGCCCTCCCCTCCCTGTGTTGGTACCCCCCAACTCCCCCACAGAAAGGTCATTAAGACAGTAAAGAGGAAGGAGGGGCTGCGGGAGGTGGAGGAGAGCAGCCTAGGAGGGAGGCGGAGGCGATTCTGCACTCACGGCAGTTCCCGCCTCCACCTGGTCTGTGCAGAACTCTGAAGGCCCTTGGCCATGCCAGGTTATAGGGGAGATGGGGACAGAGATTGGAGGGAGTGAAGCGACAAAGTGGCCATGGAAGGTGCCAGTTATCATGAAGTATGACACACAGGGTCTGGACCAACTCAAGGAGTGGAGCCCCTCAGTGCCCAGAGCTCATCGAGGGGCTGCATGACAGAGTCAGGCCTGAGCACCAAGGCATGGGAGGGAGCAACCAGATAACCCATCCCTGCAGGGCTGGGTACAGCCAGCCTCCTCGGACCCACCAGAAAGCTGAGGAGGAGCCCTGGGCAGCGGCATGACAGCACTGGAATGTGGCCCCATCTGCCCAGAGCCCTGGCCGCCAACGGAGAACACCTGGAAGCAGCTGGGGGACTGACTTTTCCAGAGATGAGCAGGAAGGGCTCACATTGGGGACCAGCACATTTAAAGATGAGTATGTGTGCACACTCCCACACACACGTGGTGAAGAGCCTCACTGCTTCTTATAAGACAGGCCACTTAATCTCTGCTTTATAACGAGCAAATAAATGACTAAACCAGCTTAAGGCCCTCCAGCTCTCTCTGGGGCCACCAGCCTCCCATGAGCAGAGGGACGCCCACACCTGCTAGGACATGGGGAAGAGGGAAGACCAGAAGGGCCTTGTCAGCCATAGGGGTGTGTCTGACACTTGCCAGAGGGCAAACCAGCATTTACAAAACTGAACCCCCTCTGGGTTTCTCGGGGAGGAGACCCTTCACTCTGATGCCAGGCCAGATGGCTAAAATCAACAGCTAGGACATGAGTCAACGTGTGCGTCAGCCGCCGCCTGCTAAGCTAATCCCTATGGCGGGGACCTTGTTAACAGCAAGATGACCAGAGGTGACTCTGGCCTACTGTTAAAATTAATCTGAAATCCTATCTGACTCAAAGCTGTGTATCATTTTTACCAGAGGGCTTCATAATCACCTGGTTAAAAGAGTCTTTAAAGGACAAGGAAGATTCTAGAACATAATGCCTGATGGCATCCAGCCTCTGCTTGGACAGCATAGGGGGGAGCCCGACACCTGGGCTCAATGACCAGGGAACTGTCTCCTTTTTAAGGGCCCAATCTCTGCACCCTGTAGCCCACCCAAGCCCTCCCTCTTGGGCTCCACCAAACTGTGAGACTGAAGAGCTTAGTCTCTTTTTCTGCACAGAATGTCCAAACAATTAAAATAAACTCCTCCTTGAGATGGAAGAAAAATGAAATTAAAAGAATATAGTAAGGAATCTGGTTCACAAAAAGAACAGTGACGCCCAGGTCAGAGGGGTTCAGCCCCTCTGCTGATGTAAGAAACCAGAGTCTCACAGGGAGGGGGTGGGCCGGGAGCCCACCTGGGTGCATCACCGGGCCCGCAAACCCAAACAAGACTCTCCTCAAACCTGCCCACAAAAATGCTCACGGGTTGGATTTTCCAATACTTTAATGTAAAAAAATGTTAGAATTTTCAAATATCACTGAACATACTTCTCAGAGGGTTTTATCTGTCATGGCACCTTATGCTTCCAGGCTTGCAGTCTGGAACATTCATTATGGGTATAACGTTAGCACACTAAGAGGTGTCTGTTGCTTTTCACTTTGGTGAAGAAGACCTCTCCAAAGTATGTTTCCCATTCTTTGTTCTCTAAAAGGCTATTACAAGCTGTTCCAGCTTTTAGTTTTGGGAGAAGCTTGTGATGATTCATTACCTCTCCCTTTTGCAAAAGCCTCTGAATACAACAAATTGCAAAGGAATCAAAGTGCTCTCACAGGTTCAAAACTGAAAGAAAGCAGAGCCTCGTTTGTTTCTTGTCAGGATACTTTAACTCTTTTCCTTCTAAAAACAACGTTCAGATATGTCACAGCACTGAGCTTGTCATCCGTTAGTGGGGTGACATATAATTCCCTATCCAAACAGAATGCATTTGGAAGAAGGCAGTAAGAAACTTATGCCCAGGGATAAAAGGGGACACCTAGGCTACGGTGCCCCCTCCCAAGTTACCCTTTCACCTCTGATCCTCACTGGCATTTGGGGGAGCACCTCCTTTTTGCTGAAGACCCAGCCACATGGCCCAGCCCCTTCTTCCCTGTCAGTTAGGAGATGACAGCATCCTATCTGCAAATACTGTGCTGGCTGGGGCTGGCTCCAAGACCAACAGCAACCTGGCTTCAGATGTTAGCTGTACTGGCCTACGTCTCAGAACATCTACACCCTGGACACACCACTGTCCCCAATGGGAAGGGCAAGGATTTTTGCTTTCTGATGGGGACTCACATTCAGCCTCGGTCTAGCTCCGTGTCCCCAGAGCAAGGCATCACACCTGATGTTCTGGCTGCAGCCTTTCCTAAGGTGCTTCAGTGCCTGCTCTGCCCCGCAGAGGGTGGCCTGCCCTGACTCTCCCCACACTCCTGGCTCCAGTAAACTACTCTTTCAGCCAATTGCCCCCAACCCTGTCTGGACACTGACAGTGGCTCTTGCAGGCCCTCAGTGAGTTAAGAAGACACAGACGCCATGAACTTAACACCCACAATGGTGTGACAACAATCATCTGTTTGGGGTCCTGGTGCTGACTGGGGCCTTCTTGGCCACAGTATACTGATGGACCTGTCTGGGTCAGGCGGCCAAACTTCTGGAAATCCTGGTGCTCTCCACACAGTGAGATATGAACACATGTAATTCAACCAATTGAGCTGAATTTGGGTAACTTTGTAAGAGGCTGTTGGGCCACATCCCGTTGTCTGCACCTGTGGCCCAACCGTATGACCAATGAAACAAGCCAGCAAGCAGGGAGCTGGGCCCATGTCTCTGGGCGGCCTGCTCCTGGCTCCCTCCCTGCCGCCTGGGCTGCTCACGTCCTCCACATGTGCCTGTCGTCACCCCCAACAGGTGCTGCCCACCCTCCCCTAACAGTCAGCCTCTCTTCCCTGAGTCCTTGAAGACCAGGGACCAGAAGGCACCTCTGCATGTCCTCCCTAGCCTTTGTGTTTTTTTTTTTTTTTGAGACAGTCTCGCTATGTCACCCTGGGTAGAGTGTCATGGCGTCACAGCTCACAGCAACCTCCAACTCTTGGGCTTAAGTGACTCTCTTGCCTCAACCTCCCAAGTAGCTGGGACTACAGGTGCCCGCCACAACGCCCGGGTATTTTTTTTGTTGCAGTTGTCATTGCTGTTTAGCTGGCCCAGGCTGGGTTTGAACCCACCAGCCTAGGTGTACGTGGCTGGCGCCCTACCCACTGAGCTACGAGTGCTGACCAGCACTTAGTTTTGAGGGAAAGTACCTCCAGGGCACTGACCTCTGTTCTGGGCCATAAACAGGTAATTTTTCTAAGTGATAAAGGCCAAATCAAAGTCTGCCTCCAACCCTGCCTGCACCAGCAAACTAGAGGGCCCCTGCACTTAGCACGTTTCTGAGCCTGCCTTAAGAAAGGCCTCCCTCCTGAGAACACATCCTCACATGGGGACAGAAGACATCTCAAGGGACAAGAGGCACAGCTGCAAGACACTCCCACCCACAGCTTCCTGGAAAGCACCAGGGGTGCTCGGCAGTGACAGGGATGTGCATCCCGGAGGCCAGCAGGGCCTCTCCGGGGTCTCGCCACTCACCCTCAGGCGCAGTGGCAGGTCCTCGGGGCTCTTTCCTGCCAGCTCATCGTCCTCGTCATCGTCCTGCAGGAAGAGGTTGGTGGGGATGATGCCCTTAGCATACTTCTTGGTGATCTCCACAAAGTCATCCAGTGCGATGTAGTTCTTGGCTGAAGCATAAGAGAAAACAGCATGGACCCCACCCCCTGCCGCATTGCAGCCCTCTCCACCCTGCCATTACCCTCACGTGGCTGGATGGAACGGGCAGTGGCCAGAGACCAAGCGGAGGAATTGCTGAGTGGGTTTGGGTGGAGGACGCCCTTCCCTGGGTGTCTAATGGAGGGGACCAGGCTGGTGGAGAGGGAAGGGGCAGGTCTGCCAGCCTCCCCAATCCCCTGCCCCTGGAATATGCTCCCCAGCTCCAGTGTCCCTCCGGCCCTAGCTACTGATACCTGGAGATGACCTGCATCTTAAGCTAGCTCCATTGCCAAGCCCTCATCCCCCACAACTCCAGCACCCGCCGACACTATCTGTCTCTCAAGCCAACACTGAACTTCTCACAGCACTAGTGACAAGATGCCCTGTTGGCCAGCCACTTGCTAACCCCTCCACCCAATATGATCCATTGAGGGCCTACTATGCACCTACTAACCCCTGCACCTAACATGATGTGTTATTACATGCTTACTGACGGCTCCAGCAGGTTCCACCGAAGGCCTCCTACATGCCCACTAACCCCTCTATCCAACATCATCCACTGGAGTGAATGGGTTGGGAGATAGGAAATTGGTCTCAGGACACTGAAGGGGAGCAGCCAGTGTGGCATCAAGGGCCCTAGGCCAGGGGAGAGGGCTTTAAGGAGGAACAGTAGCCACCTCTGCCCACAGGTTAGGCCAAATGAGAGCAGAAAGTGACCTAGCCAAGGGGGTTACTGATGGTTTGGTCAAGTATAGGAGAAGAGAATTTGAGATGGTGACACAGATGGCCCTTCCTGGGAGTTTGCTGGAAAGCCAGGAAGAGGAACAGGGTGACACCTAACAAGGACATTCTAGTTCAGAGGGAACTGGGCCGGTCCCATGTCATTAAGGCCTAGGTAGGGAGGGGTCCACAGGCTAGAGGTACTGATCCTGCCAGGCCCAACACAGTGCCAGGAAGCCAGAGCAGGGCAGTGGGGCAGCTGGGGGACTAGAACCCCACCTGCAAAGTGACCTCAGTGGGGGGTGCCTCACTCCAACACAGCTGGGTGCTGACGCCTCAGAGGCAGAGGCTATTTCAGCCTCTCTGTCGCTCTGGCCCATCAGGAAGAGCCCTTCCCACTTCAGCATTTCAGTGTGATGTCTGTTTGCCTCCCCCAAGTGGAGCAAGAAAACCGCAGCCCACACATCCCCCTCTGCCCACTCAGATGTGGGGGTCTAAGTGTCACCAGTGTTCCCACCTGAACAGGGACCCCCTACTGCTGGCAGAAGATCCTGGGACAGGAGAGGTCTTTTGGTCCTCTGATCTGACCAGCTCACTGTTCAGAAGAGGAAACTGAGGCCCAGAGAGAAAAGGGAAACCTGCCCAAGGTCACAAGAAGAGTCTGTGGCAGGCCTGGATCTTTGCTCAGCTCCCGTTAATGCTGAGTGACCCACGAGGCCCCACACCTGTCTGTTTTCTTTTGGATGGGAGCCCAGAGTTCTCCAGACCAGAACCCGACGTGGGCCACAGGCCAGTGGCTGCACATGGAGGGTGTGAAGTCTCCTCGAACTCTTTGGCCCCAGATGTCCAAAAGGCACCCCCAGTTCATCGTGCCCCCACGCCTCTGTTCCCAATGCATGCTCTAGCCCTTCAGCCCTGCCCCACAAAGGCCCACACTGAGCCAAGCCCTCAACCTGTGGCTCTCCCCAGGCTGTACTCCTGCTGTTGCTCCCACATCTAGCTCCCTCCCCTCATCCTCCATGGAGGCAGCACCTCCTTCCCAGCATTTCTCTGTCCCCCAGGGACCGTCCCCCTGCAGTCTCCATGTCTGTTTGTCTTCCCTCCGGCACATGCACTCACAGTGGGCGGGGCCCTGGGCCCAGGGCCCAGGTCCCAGAACACTGGCACTTAACAGACTGAGATCCTGGTGGGTCCCTTTGTGGGCCTCACGGGAAAGACAGGAGCCTGTGTGGGTGCTAGGTGTGGGCAGGGCAGGGGCAACTCACATTCGCTGCTGACCAGGCGCTCCAGCATCCGCCTTTGCTTCTGCAGGGACTTCGGGACAGGGCCTGGCTGCACCTCTCCATCTGCAGGGGACAGGGTAGTGAGAATCAGGCAGGGTGACCATCCCCTCGTGCCTTGCAGCCCACTAAAACCTGCGCAAAGGATCCTAGGGCATTCTGAGTTCTGGGGACCCCAGGCCTGGGGTCTCTATTGCAGCTGTTGGGCAGCATGTGGCCACTTCTGTGTCTCTAGCTATGACACTCGATGTAGCCACCAGGTGCTTCCTCTCCAGGAGGAACAGCCCATCCACCTGTGAGGGGGGTAGTCACAGAGCACTGGGTGGACCACCCCCCTTAATTGGTTCAAAGATGAGCACTGAGCCAGGTCGATGCTGGCCTGTCAATGACCACCACTCAGCTTCCTGCCCAGGAACCAGTCCCCCGGGGGCAGTGTGGCACCTGATGGGGCTGCATACCATGCTCGTTGACCTGACCAACATTCTCCAGCAGCTCTGACACAGCCACCTGCTTCTTCTTCTTGGGGTTGAGCTTCCAGTACATGACCAGGGCGGCCTTGCGCACGGCCCTCTCCAGGTCGGTCTCGGAGGAAAGCTGCCTCACCTCCTGCTCATTCTCGGATGTGATGCCTGAAAGACAGGAGGCAGTAAGGGCTTTGTCCCTGGGACCTAGCACAGTCTCACTCCAGTTACCTGCCCGGGAACAATGCTGGGGCTGTCCTGGTGTCTACAGCACTCCATGGGCATGGGCCCCCGTGTCTTGAACATGAGTAGCCCTTTCTGAGGGAGACAAAGACTGGCCATGGGGCAGGGGGTGAGCAAGGGCCACAGCAGGTCAGGGGCCGCCTTCTTCCCTTCACATCCAGTGGCCAGCACAACTCTCCCCACAGGGCAGTAAGACTTGGCATGGAAGACTTGATGTTTGTCTCCTTTTAAACATTTTCCCCAAATTTCCAAATGAACATAAAATTCCTTTTCTAATCAGAAAGTGCTGTGGGGCTGTGAGGAACATTGAGGTCTGTCCCTGCGTGGCCCTGGCACCCTTAGGCTATTTGTCCGGCACCCTCTAGGAACCTCTGGCTCCTTACACCAGTTGTAAAAGCCGCACAAGCCCACTCCAGCCAGCCCCAGCATGCTCAAGGTCATTCCACATGCTTCAGAGAGGAGAGGCTGGGTTGGTGAGAAATTCTGGCTAACAGTGTTCTCTTTGCCCAAAAACATCAGTCTAATTTTCAAAGAAAGATGGTTCCATATAATAAATGCAACTCTTAAAAGATGATACAAAACCAGAAGGAAATACAAGGGCTGTCTGGAAAGTATCTAGGAACATAACACACAAAAATGTGTCCACGATGGCTGGACGCTTTCCAGACAGCCCTCATATACCAAAATATGGAGTGCTTCTCTCTGGGTTTCAAGGTTATGAGTAATTTGTATCTTTATGCTTTCTAAATATTCCAAGTTTTCTATGATAAGCATAAAAGACTATTACAATCTGAAAAACACCATTAAAAAAACACCTTGGTGATGTGCACTTTCCTTTTTCCTTGAGGCTTTTCTCAGGAAGCACAGCGTTCCTGGATTCTCTCCAGGAATCAGCTGCTCCCGTTGGGGAGGAGGATGCCTAACTGACTGCAAGAGGCCTGGGCTGCATCCCCACCCCACTCCATCCCCTGTCCCCTCCCCTCTCAACCTTCTCCCAGTTGGTTTGTTTTTTGAAACACAGTCTCACTCACTATGTCACCCTCAGTAGGGTGCAGTGGCATCACAGCTCACAGCAACCTCAAACTCTTGGGCTTAAGCAATTCTCTTGCCTCAGCCTCCCAAGTAGCTGGGACTACAGGCACCCCCAGAATACCCAGCTATTTTGTTGTTGTAGTTGTCATTGTTGTTTGGCAGACTTGGGCCTGCCAGCCCTGGTATATGGGGCTGGCGCCCTAGCTGCTGCTGAGCTACAGGCACTGAGCCCCCTCCTCCCAGTTTTGAAAGGTCAGTCCACCTCCCCCATGGTGAGCAGGCCTACACACATCTTCATGAGCCCACCGGCCCCAGCTGCTATGCCCAGATTGGTGGAGAGCTTGGCTCCAGGGGATCTACCACTGTGATTGCAGGCCACGCCACAGTTCCCAGCTTTACCAACGTGAAGTTGGCCCTCCTCCTCAGCTGGCACCAGAATCTACTGCCCAGGTTGGACCAGAATCTAGCAGAGAAGAGGGCTATAACTGGTTACCACTTGCAGACACCAACATAAGCCAAAGAGAACGACAAAGGCTTGGTTTGTCAAATATCCCAAGTTAGGCTCAAGAAACAATAACTAAAATGATGAAGCCACTGGCAAAACAAAAACTGTGCTCATTTCCCAATGGCATCACCAGCATCAGGCTTTCCTGTTGTTAATATTTTATTGTTTTACTAAGAACTCATTTCAACTCCGACCAAATTAATACAAAAGATGTAAATTCACCATCTTTTTTAGTGGCTAAGTAGTATTTCATGGTATACATACACCACAGCTTATTAGTCCATTCCTGGATTAGTGGGCATTTAGGTTGTTTCCACAATTTGGCAATTGTAAATCGAGCTGCAATAAACAGTCTAGTGCAAATGTCCTTATGATAAAATGATTTTCTTTTCTTCTGATGCCCAGTAATGGGATTACAGAATCAAATGGGAGGTCTAGTTTGAGTTCTTTGAGGATTCTCCATACTTCCTTCCAAAAGGGTAGTATTAGTTTGCAGTCCCACCAGCAGTGTAAAAGTGTTCCCTTCTCTCCACAACCATGCCAGCATCTGCAGCTTTGAAACTTTGTGATGTGGGCCATTCTCACTGGGGCCAGGTGATATCTCAGGGTGGTTTTGATTTGCATTTCTCTGATAATTAGGGGCAATGAGCATTTCTTCTTAGTTAAGCATCACAAGAATTGAGAAGCAAGAATCCAATGTAGTCAATTCTGATATGAGGACAATTGACACTAGGAGATGGTGGGGGTTAGGGTGGGGGGAAAGGAGAGAGGGAAGGAGGGAGAGGGTGAAGGGCCACAGTATGTGACACACTTCTTTGGGGCAGGACACTTTTATTAGAGGGACTTTAACCAACAAATGCAAGCAGTGTTACCTGGCTCTTTGTACCTTCAGTGATTCCCCAACAAGTAAAAATTAAAAAAAATTTTATTGTTGTTTGGTGAGCAGGTGGCATTACCAACTATCTGTCCCTCAGGCAGCTGTCCTAAGCCTCATGTGGACATACCTTTTCTGTCTGCCAAGCACCGGCGAAGGAGCTTGACAGCTTCCCGCCGGCCCTGCTTTGCAGCCATGATCAGCCAGTCCACAGCGGTACAGTTATTGAGCTCTTCATCTGCATCGTCGGCTAACTGCAGGTAGCGTTTTCCCACCTGCAAACCAGACACCACTCTGCCTCCAGCTTCTCAGACCCTCTCCTGCCCCTCCAATCCAGCCAGCCACCCCCTTTGTCAATAGGCAAGAAGAATGGGACAGGAATGGGGCTTGCTGGGCATCTACACGAGGGTAGGCTCTAGGAGGCATGCATTCCTCCTTAAAACACCAGGAGGCAGATGTGGCCACCTCCTTCCTCAGAAGGAGGGCTACAAGGTCTACCAATGTTTTCCCTTCAGCAGCTCCTACCCACCCATCACCAAGGCACATTAACAGTGGATAGAAACAAAGAGTTATGACTGGGCCCACTTACCACCTCTCAAGATAGTCAGGGCTGGAGAGGGCCAGAGAAGCTGGGTTTGGCATGGGCCCATGGGCCACATTTGGCCCACTGTCTATTTTTATAAATAAAGTTTTATTGGATCACAAGTGCAGCCATGCTGTGTGAGTGCACTCAAAGGCAGAGCTGAGTAGTTACAACAGACACCACACAGAGTCCAAAATATGTATCATCCAGCCCTTTGCAAAAAACCTGCCAACATGGTCCAGTCCTTTTATTTTACATATGGAAAGAGTGAGGCCCAGAGGAAAGACGGGGCCTACATAAGTGCTGTGCTCCGCAATCTCTGAATGCCTGGGAAATGGGTTGCAGAAGGAACTTTTAAGTACAATATACCCATAAGGAAAAGGGAGGGTGGGAAATCATTCCAGATGGCTGTGGTCACCTGCTGAACCATGTACAAAGGGAAAGAGTGAGGTGGTAGGAAACAGCTGCTCGGGACCAGTTTACACAGGCTTGACACCTCTGGGAAGGTGGGCATGGTCACCTCCCCAGGGAGGCCTGGCAGTGAAAGCAGAGGTGAGATGCACAGGCACAGGGCACAGTGCTGCTGCCTGGAGCTCATCCCTTTCTCCTCCTGGGGTCTTGGGTTCCCCATGTGCCACATCAGGGGCTGGGCGCTGAGGTCCTCCCCACCTCCCCCTGGTACCCTAGACTCTAAGCTGAGAAATGCAACCAGAGATCTATGCACTGATATAGCCAACAGGTGGTTCCTGAGGCACCAAGTGCTGGGTCCCAGAGCCCCCAGACCTGGGTCTGAACCCCAGCTCCTCTGCAAGAGCTATATAAATTGGGGCAAATCATTCAAGCCTTCTTTGCCTTAGTTGCATCTCAAGAACAGACATGGTAATTCCCCTCTCCGATGACACGCTGAGAGTGACATGAGATGGTGATCACTGTGCTGATGTTAACACCCCTCCTTCCTCTCTTCCCCATGCACTTGGGTTCCTGAAACCCACCAAGCTCCTCCCACCTCGGCCTCCACTCATGGCTCTCCTGTCCACACTGCCCAGGTGTGCAGGGTCAGCCCTTGGCAGGGACGGCCCTCCACAGAGGGCACCAGGACTCCCACAGCTCCTGGCTCAGCATCCTGTTTGCGTCTCCCCTCACCGGAACTCAGTAATCTCATTTATGTGTCTATTTAGCGGGTTCTGTCTGCCTTTTCCACTGACCTGTCACCCCATGAGGACGTGACCCATGTCTGTGTGGCTCACCATTGCACCCCCGCACTGGCACAAACCCTGGCCCTGGCAGATGCCCAAGGGAACAGTCACTGCTCTGTGGCCACACAGCTAGTGGCCAGGTGAACAGACACCAGGGAGATGAGAGCATTCGGCATATACGGCATGAAGCACGGGGAAAGTTGTGTGTCCACTGAGCAAGCCAGGCACAGGGAGGACAGACAGAAGGGAGGATGACCTAGAAGAGGTGATGTCCAAGTAAGGTGTGAGGTGGACAGGGGATGAGCCTTGGTCCCCAGAGGGAAGCAGGGAGAAAAATCAACACAGAATGTGGGAACTCAACCAACACAAAGTATTGCATGTGGGACACACAATGACCCCAATCCCCGTTCCCAGGCACTGACTCTTCAAGCTGTAGGCTCTTGGCTGGGCCTGCCATACTGGGGCCTGTCCTGAGCCCCCTGCCAACATTGCATCCTCACCTCTGTCTGCGCCTTAGGGTCCCCAGCCTTGGCCTTCTCCAGGACTTCCTCAAAGGAGATTTCCACATCTCGCCTTACAGGCCCTTCAACATGGAAGAAACAAACAGAATGTCACAAGCCAGATGCTGCCACTGGTCAGAGAAGTAGAGGGGAAGGCAATAGTGGTCTTTAGAAGACCCAGTGCTACTTGTCCCTTTAAAAACCAGGCCAGGAGGACAGGCACAGAGACAGAGATGTCTAGGCGGCAGCTGCCTGCCTTCCAATTCCACACACAGTGCCAGAGCAGTGAGAGCAAACTCCATCCAGGGGGGTGGATCTCAACAGCACCATGGAGTTTTGTGAAGGGGGCAAGGGAATGAAGGGGCACAGACCCAGTCCCACCATCACCCCCTCAGTTCTCTAGCCAGGGATCAAGAAAGATCAGAGGACTTGTTTGAAAGCCCAGGATTGAAGTAATAAAAAAAAAAAAAAAAACCTGCACCCAACACTCAGCACCCCAACTAATCAAGTTCAGGATCGTGTCAACAACAGACACGTTTTTTGGAGTTTATGACCAGTATACACCCACCTTGATACCGTGTTTCCCTGAAAATAAGACACTGTCTTATATCTATTTTTTCTCAAGAAGACACACTAGGGCTTATTTTCAGGGGATGTCTTATTTTTATTAAGTATAATAGAATAATCTACATTTATTTATTTATTTTTTGAGACAGAGGCTCAAGCTGTCCCCCTGGGTAGAGTGCCATGGCTTCACTGCTCACAGCAACCTCCAACTCCTGGGCTCAAGCGAGTCTCCTGCCTCCACCTCCCAAGTAGCTGGGACCACAGGCGCCCACCACAACGCCCAGCTATTTTTTGGTTGCAGCCATTATTATTGCTTGGTGGGCCCGGGCTGGATTCGAACCCACCACCTTAGGTGTATGTGGCTGGCACCTTAGCCGCTTGAGCCACAGGCGCCGAGCCTGCACTTATTGAAATACAGTTAAGTCATCTTCTTCTGGAACCTGACAGGGGGAGCTGACCTTGTTGGTGGGGCTGGTGCTAGTGATGCGTGAACTCCTTTCCCCTAGCCGTTCGTACATGCGCAGTAGGATGCCTGCAATGGTGGTTACCACACGTGCACCTGCGCAAGTGCCAACGGCTCGGAGAAAGGAGCTGTGGCAGATAAAAGGTATTCCAGTCTTCTTTACCACTCCGTGCTGACATGCATGGAGTGGCTTTGAAGAGCATAGCCACGCCCATCACTATGTTTTATTATGGGGGTAGGGCTTATATTTAACAAATGCATAGAAATTCTGCTAGGGCTTATTTTTGGGGTAGGTTTTATTTTCAGGGAAACACAGTATTAACAGTTTTTACTTAACAGTGATTATCTTCATCCATTCAGGCTGTTATGATAAAACACCACAAATAGAAAGAGAGAATTATTTTGTATGGTTCTGGCTGGAAAGTCCAGGAGAAAAGTGCCCACAGATCTAGCCTTGGACAAGGCCCCATTTTGGTTCATGGGTCTTCTTGCTGTGCCTCCCCAGGGCCTCTCCTATAAGGCACCACTTCCATCAAGAGGGCTCCACCTTCATGACCTCATCACCTGCGAAGGCCCTGCTTTCTAACACCACCACTCTGGGGGTGAACACGCACGCACTGTGGGAGGCAAACGTTCAGGCCACTGCAGGGGATTATTGCACTGCACTGCAGTCAGTTCACTATTTCAAGGGCTTATAAATCCCACCAAAAGGACATGCTGAATTTACTGGACTTTCCCTCTGTTTGGTCTTTCAGGTTGTTCTCAATAATCCCTTATTTTAAAAAATGGTGCCACAAACAATTTTGGTGTATACTTTTCTTCTGGTAAGTTATTTTCCTAACATAGGTTCCCTAGCTGCATTACTAAGCTGAGGGCCTAAACATCATTATGGCTCATCCTGTATTTTACTTTCTAAAAAGTTATTCCAACTTAGAAAAGCTTTAAACAGCCACACCTTTCACTATAACCTTACTGACAACAGGAAAGGATGCACGGTCCCCAGAGACAACACACCAAGGAATGGCCCTCCTTGTCTAATTAATCCACAGCTTTCCCCAAACCACCCTGTGCCAGGCTCTGAGCTGGGCTCTACAGCACCCACGCCACCTGGCCCTGCAGGACACCCATGTCTGTGAGAGGCAGGACTCTGACAGGAGGCAGCATGGGAAATGGCTGAGATAACACAAGCTCACCAGGCTCCACGGTCACATCCAGTGTGGAGAAGACAGGAGGTTGGGGTGACTCAAAGGTGCAGGCAGCAGATGAAGCTCCCACAGGTGAGGTGTGTGTTTCGGGAAGGAGGAATTTGAAGGATTCTTCACCAGACCTCCGCATGTATGTCAGCCCTTTTGGTGGCCAGCTTGCTAACAGGGAGCAGTTTGGGGCTAAGCTTCCCTGGAGATGGCTCCAGGCCCACAGAGCAGCACTGGGGACGCTGCCACACCTTCTCAGTGGCCTCAGACCTTGGTGCCAGTGTTTCCCAATCCATCAAGGTTGTTTCTCTCTTCTTGCTGCCATCACCCCTTCCAGCCCCTGCAATGTGCCTTCTGGCCATGGGCTCAGCACAGGTTGACGCGTTGTGGAAGGGCTCAGACAAAGCCTGCCGCAAGAGGCCCTGCCATGGGCTCCCTGAGGACTGTATTCAGAGTAACACTGATCCACGCGTGAATCCACAAATCCATTCTCCATGTAAGGTGCTGTGTGACCGGCACAGGTCTTCAATCTAATTGTTACTATTGATCTGGCAGTATGATTTATGAAGAAATGAGACGCTCTGTAGTATGTGAGGGGTCTTCTCTCTCCCTACTCGCCACCTCTCTCAGGTGACCCAGGGTTGGGGCCATCGCTGATCCCATACTTTCCAGCACAGTACCAGCCCCTCTCATGAGTTCAAACTTCTTTTCTTAATTAATTAAATTCATAAGTCACATTAGTTTTTTCCTTTTTTAAACAGAACCAGAAGATGGAAGCCTACATCTGTTGCCTAAGACTCTTCTAGTCCATGATTAATTTTTCACAGAAGTTATTCATAGCCTGACATTTCAAGAAGTCACCCCAATATGTAGAATCTTTTTGAGATGTACACAACTTTCTTATTATTCAAGCTTCCCTGTGGCAGTGGTGGAAATGTTTCCACAACAACCCCAATCTGGGCTCCAACTATAGACCAGTTGGAGGGTTCTAAGGCAAAACCCAACATGCTTCCTGCTCGATGCTGCGCAGAAGCCGGCTGAGTCAGTGTGCACCACTAAGGACCATGAAATGCTTCATTCCTTGATGCCCCTACTGGGGAAGCACCCTGGGACACTCTGAGTCCTTGCAGCCCAGGTGGCACTGCCCTCTCCCACAGCACATGGAGGGCAGGCAGGCCCAGCTGGCCAATCGGAGCACTCTGTGACATCTCCCTGACCACAGTGCCTGGTTCAGGGACACACACAGACCCAAGTCAGGCCAAGGGGGCTTGTGCCAGAACTACTGAGAAACAGGCCTTCTCCTTTTGCTGGTCTTGGCAGGTGGATGCCAGCCTGGAGGGCCCCCCGTGGGATGAGACTACCAGAGAAAGAGGGCGACACAGGAAAGCATCAGCTGGGGAAGGGGAGAGAGCACTTCCTGATGACGTCATCTAAGCTCTGGATCCAGCCACACTGGAAGTAAAATAATCTAGACTCTCCAGATACAGCGACTAATCCATCCCATTTGCTTTGCCCCCTTTTTTGTGTGTACGGCTTTATAGTGGGCTTCTGTCCCTCACAACTGAAAGGGTCCTGAATCTAGTTGTCTTTAGAAAATCTTCCTATCAATCTCCAAATAGCATCATTCAGGCTGTATGCCCACAGACAGTCTCCTTAACCTGGAGAGGATCCATGGAGAACACCCCTCATCCTCTGACATTACCCATTTCCATGGATCCCATGCATTTGAAGGACTCACAGATGCCACACTGAATCAGTAAGTAACCTACGCTTCCTCCTGAGCCAGCAAGGTAAGGAGCGCTGATCCAGGACACCCCCACCCCAACCCTGGCAGAGGCCACTGCCATTCCTGCTGGAACCTGGCCCGTCCTGTCATGGGCTCCACCAGCCTTTGTGGATACCATCTATGCCCACTGGGGTAGGCAACCACTTCTCCTCAACTCCCTGAACCACACTGGACAATGCACAGAGAGCAAACGGAGGAAAGGACAGACGGGGGTCCAACCAGGGAGTCACCATGAGCAGGGCCTACAGCTTTCCTCTCTGTGCCCCCAAATCCCGGCATAGCTCAGAACACAGCATGTACTGGGCTTACTGCCAAGTTCAACTCCCTGATTTGAGCAGATATTCTGTAGAAGTGGAAAGGAGTAGAGGGGTATCTTCCTATGCATTGGGAGGGTCAGGCCCACCCCCGGGAAAGGGAGTGGGGACGCCTCTGGCTTCCTTCCCAACTCCTGGCTCCAACTGTGCATGAGACTCGTCCAAGAGGGCCGGTATGAGGCAGCTGGCTTCCATCGTCACATCACTGGTGCCATCTAGATAGGCTTCAATAATGTAAAATTTTTGGATGTATGTCAAACACTCTTAGAAGATGAGTGCAATCTTAAACACGTAGTAAATAAATATGATGTAATCCCCCCATTTCCAAGAGTGCTGCCACACCTCTCACAGCTTCCCTTGATGGCTTCCAGGTCTGCTCCTCTGGTGACAGCCACTACATGGGGCTGTGCTGAAGGAAAAGGCATAAAGAAAGGAAGGTGTGCCAGGTGCTGTCACCATCCCTGGGCCAGGGCATGACGCGGTGGCCTTGCACCAAGGGGTACCCCACACATGGGGCAGCTGGGATCGGCAGCTTGAGGGTTTCTCTTTATGATTGATGCTTGTTCTTATGAAGGGTCCAGAATCCAAGGGCACCGAGTTGAGCAAGGCAGGACCCCTGACCTCAAGAAGGCCTGCCCCAGTGCCAGGGAAGGATGACCACAGTTCACCCACGCAGGGTCAGGGCTCGTGCAAGTGACTGCAGAGACCAGTCTGGCAGTAGGAAGCTTCCTGGAGGTGACATTCAAGGCCTTGAGCCCAAGCAGGAGGTTAAGAGTAACACATGACAGGCACGCTGCCACGCTTCCAAAGGACTCAGGATACCAACGTTTGAGCCACACCTAAACTGCCACCAAGTCCTCACAACAGGTTAACCTAAGGTGTGGGGGTCACAGCACAGGCAGTGCAATCAGACAGATCATGTAAGGGCAGAATAGGAGATGTAAAAAGCTAGTCCCTCAATTATCAGCAGCCAGGACCCTGGACCAGACAGCACAGCTAAGCATCACTTGTTGCTGTGCCTGACCCAGGGCAGCAGGCTCAGCACATGCATCTACACACTCCCAAATCTGTATTAGAGCCCCAGCCCCTCCTTGGCCCCCTTGCACTCACCTCTGAGGACTGAGTGTAATCCCCCTAGGAATTGCTCCCAAGCCCCCATCTCAGGCTGTGCCACCACCATCCACTTGCTGGCTCCAGCCAGAAAACTGGACACCCCACCCCCCAGCAGCCACACAGACCAGCAGCTCCTCTCTCCCAGCTGCCCACCAGCTGTCTCCACAGAGCACCAGGTGGTTTTCTGTTCACCCTAAAACAATCTCCCAATTAAATCCCTCTAACAGCTCCCATCACACTCACAAGAATTCCCACTCTCTTTCCTGGACCCTCAGGGCCCAGCTTGGCCTGGCTGACCTCCTTGGCAGCTCCCAGCTGAACTCCCCGTCACCGGTCCCTGGGTCCAGGACCCTGTTCACACTGCACAGGCCCTTTCTCATTCCCTCACCCCACGTCCACCTCCGGGCCCTGGCCTGCTTGGCCAGAACTGAGAGAGTGCTTCCCAGAGGCCACACCTCACTACGGACCAGGGGTAAAGAGCTCTGCTTCATTCTTGGGTTGAGCAGAACAGGTCCCTCTGGGCTGAAGACAACGGTGGGGGAGAAGGTGCACAGGACTCTATCACAGCCACTGTGAGGAAACAGCCCCCCACTATCAGTGGGCTGCAAGCTGGCCAGGAAGCTGGCTCTGGCCCAGGGATATATAGCTTGGGCAGCTCAGCCTTGTCCCCATTGGAACCCACATAACTCAGACAAGAGCCTGGCACCTCCCAGTGGTCTGTGTAGCCTGGGTCACTGCTTCCTTACCTGTCTGCCCCAGTAGCATCTGCTTCCAAGCCCTGAGTCGCTGTTCCGATGTGGCAGGTGACTTGCCAAGGCCACAAAGCCAGGACGGGAAGCGTCCAATGCAGCCCCTGTCCTCTTTTGCTTAAGAAGAGGCTGAGAAGGGGTGTCCTCAGGGAGGCAGCCAGAGACAGGAGACCCCAGGGCAGCTCTGGCCCCGTCTGCCAAGTACACAGGCTAAGAGGCAGCTCAGATGGCGCCTTCTCCAGGTGGCCCTCCAGGAAAGACTGGGCTCTCTCCTAGGTGACCCCCAGGGGGCTACAACATGGTGTCCACACCACTGCCCTCAGCCCCCAGGACTAGGACTGGGGCTCCTGGGCATGGCTGACCTGAGGGCGTCAGGCAATCAGTTAGTGCTATGCCTGAGGTGGCTGGTTGCCTGTGGCTCATCAGGAGCACAAGCTCACAGTCCCGGCTTCAAATCCCCACTTCACCCTCGCCAGCTGCACTCACTGGGCCTTTGACTCAAGCTCTCTTCTCCTCAGTGTTCTCCTCTGAAAAGTGGGGTGGCAACAGCGCCTGCCTCCCAGGCCTAAGAGGCACCCTGCTGGGGAGCGTGTAATTTCAGCACACACTCTGCTTACCTATCATGTTTTAGCTGATGCTCTCCGTGGGGCAGACAGGAAAGCTAAATCGAACTTATCACACCAACTACTGCAGGGAGGCAGTCTGGGCCCCACCCTCCCTGTGGCCCTTGAGTGTATGCAGGGATGGCTGGCCCCACATCAGTGACCGGTGACTCAGAGAAGCCAGGCCCACTGCCCCCAGCTGTCCCTCACTGGAGCTGCTCTCCACTCCCACCCCCAGGGTGGAAGCCACACCAATCACATCTGCTTGCTGACTTCTGTCTGAAACTTACACGGTCTGGGGCTCTGCCCTCTGTAGGCTGCTCTGCAGTACCTAGATCAAAACCAAGTGTTTACAGCCCTGGTCTCTGATCCCGTTGGCCATGAGACAGTGGATGAGGGGGCAGCATTTAGGGATGGGCCCAATCCTAGGGGCAGGGAGACAAAGCAGGGGAACTTAGTGATCTTCAAAGGAGACACAAAGGCCAAAAGACCCCAAGGACAGGGTGAGTTTCTGAGGGTGGGTGAGGCTGACCCAGCACGAGCTGAACCAGGCAGCCCCAGCCACTGCACCCAGATCTGGGAGGGCCCTCTAGCTCTGCTAGTGAGGTGGCCAGTGTATGAAAAGACGGGTCACTCACCAGTAAGTGGCCTGGACAGTCACTGAGATTCTGTGCCTCAGCTTCTGAGGGGTCCTGAGTTGGCACATGGGCAGGGTTGTGGACACAGCAGGGGCTCACCACATTTGGGCCCTTGCAAAGGTGGGAGGGGCATTGCTGAGCTGGGGTAACCCCCTTCAGGCCACCGGCCTCTCTAGGGGAAAGGCAGAGGACGACCGAGGGCTGAGTGAGCTGTAGAAGGTACCAAGGGGCTGCCCTACCAAGGCAGGCAGGTGGGGACTCCCCTCACTCAGACCCACCACAGGCAGGACAGAGCCTCATGTCAGCTCAGCCTGTGAACACCAAGGGTCACCGCATCCTGCCAGGGGTGGGGTAAGGAATGCCACCTACACACACACACACATATGCATACACACATGCACACCACACACACTCACACACCCATGTCACACACACACACCACACACATGCACACACATATGCTCCCGAGAGAAAAGACATCCAGCACCCAGGACTTCACCCAAACTAGGTCTTATCCCTAAAAGTGCAGAGTCGTCTTTATGGCCAGCCACCCTGACTGGGCACAGCGAGGGAGGGACTCATCTGTAACAAATGGAACACGGACTCAAACAGGAACAGCAAAGTGCTGAGCAGGAGCAGGACTGACGGGAGGTGTGCTGGCATCCCGAGGAACTGCGCCCGCTGCACAGGTACAGGTGAAAGGCTGTGAGGGAAGCGGCTGGCCTCACAGTGCACCCAGGCAGAGACAGCTCCGTGCCCACACTGTGTTACCACACAGCCCTTCTGGGCTTCCCATGGCTTACCAGTTCCAGCCACTCTGTCCCTGCTCCTGGCACGCTGGGCCCAGGGCTTGGCTGGGGTGGCTGCATCTCCCACACCTGGGCCAGGGCCAGTTTGGGACCCTGGTGCTTCGGGCATTTCACTGCCCTCCTGCTCCACTGAGGCAGTGGCATTGAGACGGGAGCGGGCCTGTGGCACTGGTGGTGGCTGTGGGCAGGAAGGGCCCTGCAGAGGGATGCTGGAGTCCATCCTGTAAAAAAGGCCATGGTCAGACACACGCCAGGGGCAGCAATGCCCAACCGGCTCCAGCTCCTGGTGTCTGGTAGAGAAGGAAGTGAAGGGGCGGGCCTGTAGGTTCTCATTTAAGCCCAGCACAGGCCATCCCCCAGGGCCAGACCCACCTTCCAGATGAAGAAACTGAGGGAGGACGCTCACTCAAGGGCACCCAGCTCCACACAGAGAGACAGCTACGATCCCAGGCCCTGACGTCTGCAGGCCTGGAGTCCCTGCCTCACCATGAGCCATGCAACCTTGCTTTGGCATCCCTGTCAGAGAAATAGGGATGATGACAACTCTTACAGGTCATGCGCATGGAGCCTTAGAGCCCTGAGCACAGCGCCTGGCTGTGGGGGGCTGAATGGAACCCCCAAGTAATGTGACAACCCGTAACTATGAATGTGACCTGTAGTGAAAAGTAGGTCTTTGCAGATATACTGAGGACCTTAAGATGACATCATCATGGGTTAGGGTGACCCTCAATCCAGTAACTGGTATCCTCATACACAGCACAGGGAGAGGCCGAGAGAGTGCTGGAGGGAGCTGGGTATGAGCAGAGAGCTGCCCCCACCACCAGACACAGAGAGAGGAGGGACACAGCACAGGGAGAGGCCGAGAGAGCGCTGGAGGGAGCTGGGTATGAGCAGAGAGCTGCCCCCACCACCAGACACAGAGAGAGGAAGGACACAGCACAGGGAGAGGCCCAGAGAGCGCTGGAGGGAGCTGGGTATGAGCAGAGAGCTGCCCCCACCACCAGACACAGAGAGAGGAGGGGACCAAGGCCTCCCTAGGAGTTTCTAGAAGGGACCAACCCCACCCCACACTTTGATTTTAGAATTCTGCCTCCAGAACAGTTAGAAAATAAATTTCTGTTGTTTTAAGCCAAGTTTCCAGTAATTTCTTATGGGTGTGGGGAGCTAGGAAATGAATACATTAATGCAGAGTAAAAATTAAAGGTGAGAAAGGGAAGGGAGGGAGGCTGGGGACTGAAACCCAGGTCTGCCCAGTCCAGAGCCCTCCGCAGCAGGCCCGGAGCACAGGACAAAAGTCACAGAACTTTGATGGCCCAGTCATCAACACATATTGGAAAGCAAACTAAGCACACAGGGTGTTGTTAGAATAGACTCGAGGGCACAGAGACCTGACACGTGTCACAACAGGGGAAAGAGCTTTGTTTTATTCAATAGGGGCCCTCATGCGCTGCTTGGCAACACTGACGTAAGAGGGCAGCCACAGGCCACAGCCCAGGAGCTGACAGCTCTGGCAGACACCCCTGAAACTGTCAGACCCACACATGCTCTGGGTGTGAGGAACCTCTTCCTCAGATTCCCAAATGACCCTCCCCAAAATCAAGGCCACATCTGTCCTTAGGGGTACAGAGCAGAGAGAGGCTGGGAATTAAAAATCTGCTTCCAGCCCCAACCTGCCTCAAGTCCGTGCCCACAGCTGTGCAGTCCTGAGTAGGCCATGTTACTTTACCTCCCAGCTGTGACACAGACCACCACTCACTCTCAGGGGCAACTATGACAACCCATGAGACCAGGGACCGTGAGCTACATGAAGGGGCCAGGGTCTTGGTGGCCTACGAATCCCCAGGCCTCACACAGCCTGGCCCCAACAGGTGCCTGGGGGACAAATTTCTAGAGACTGTCACCACTGGAAGAATCAGGAGTAGCCCCAAGCTCCCTACACAACAAATTCTGTTCATCCTAAATGGGTCCTAAAGTTCAGACCTGTGTCCACCCAAGTACTCTATAGATTTCATCCTGGACATTCCTCCCTTGGAGAGACCAAGCCCTTATTTTAAAACAACCCCCTGATGCAAACCAAAAGCACAGTCAGTGCTGCTTCCAAACTCCAGGCTCCCAGGAACTGGCACCTTCTGCAAAGCTGGCCATTTGACAGCATGTGGAGAGGTAAAGCCAGCTGTGAGAGTGGGCAAGCGGGGTAGATACAGGACCACAAGAGAACTCATGTGAGAGTGGGCACACAGAATCACTGTCCTGCAGGCCACAGGGGCCACCTGAGAGGTGACAAAGTCGGGCCTGCTAACCACATGCAGTCATGTCCTACCTCGCCTTCTCCAGGGGCTCCCACTGCCTTAGAACAGCAGAGGCAGCTCACCTGCCGGCCCGGACACCTGTCATTAACAGCCAGCTCTGTTCTCAGTATCTCCCCATGGCTTCCTCATGGGGCCCTACGAGGTAGGTGCTTATCATCTGGGTCACAGGTGGAGACAGCTGTCTTCCTTCAGCCTCACCCCATCTCACAGGCGAGGACACTCAGGTCTAGGAAGGCGAGAGACCTGCTCAAGGACAAATAGCTCACTGCACTGGAGCTGCAATCCAAATCTGCACCTGCCCAGCTGCAAAGCCTCACTTCTGAAAAAGAGGCTTCCAACATCTGAACCCTACTGCACCCTGTCTCCCTTCACTCTACAGCACTGGCCACTCTTCAATACCACCGTGCCACTGCTGACTTCATACTTTGTCTCATTGCCCTCTGCCTGGAATGCTCCCAACCCCCTCCTAAAGTCCAGATCCTAAACATCCTTTAGCTCAAGAGCTCAGTGACACCTCCTTCGCAGGAGTTTCCAAGCTGCCTGCTCTGGATCCTTGCCTTCCCCACACACTCAGCACTCAGGCCATCACCTCCCATGCAAGCCCTCCCTGTTACAGGGATGTGAGCAGGGCCCCCGCCTGGCCAACAGGGGCATGGAAAGTGGAATACCCTTTACTGGTAGCTACTGGGCCTCTTTGTGTGTTTCCCCATCTGTAAAATCAGGCAGCACCTCCAGAGTCGGGGTGCCACGGGGTTAAGGATATAACGGAAGAGAAAGCAATCTGCAAACTGGAAGCCACAAAAAAAAAAAAAAAAAAAACCCAAAACCCTAAGTCAGTACTCCCAGGTGCCAAATAAAGGCAAGCTCAGTTGAAAAACACTTCATAAAGGGAATTTCAGGAAAACAGATTCTATTTGGCCTGTTGGGCTAAGTACTATGCCCATCACCCCACAGTCAAAATACAAACTGTTTAAAATAAAATCTCTGGTTAATAAGAACAGATGAACACAGGAGGATTAATTTTCAGGCTCCCTGAGGAATGGCCAAGCCTGGATTGGATCAAAGGGCTTGTTATTTCAGAACAAAGTGACTCCTGGCCATGGTCGGTCACGGGACAACAAAGATCAGAAAAGATCTCCCCGTGCAAGGGCCTGCGGGGTATCTGCTGGTCCTTCCTTCTCTGAGTCCTTCCTGTGACAGAGAGCTCTGAGGACAGGCCTGAATCTCGCTGAGGTGGGAAGGCCTGCTGCCTTGCTAGGCACACGCAGGTGCTTGATGTGCAAGGGCAGGAGCCCGAGGCAGCCGCCACCAAGGTACCCTCTCTGGGAAATGATGCTGCTTTGTGACCTTAAGCAAGTCCCTCCCCCACGTTACAACATCCCCAGCTGCATCCACATTCTGTCCCCTACCTGCAGCTCCCTCCTCAGTGGGGCAGTCAGCCCGACTGCCCCTGATGACTAGAACAGTGACTTGGAATCTGTAATTGTATAAGATCCAAAAATACAGAGTGGCCAGCATTCTTTCCTCATGAGCGCCAAGAAGTATTTTTATCCTATCTAATCACAAAGGTCAGCACTAAGGCACTCAGTGGAGGGGCTACAACCCCTTGAGAAGGCTGCACAGACCAGGCATCCACTGAGACCAGAAGCATAACGACTGTGTGTGGCCTCCTGCTCAAAGGACTCCAAACCTCACCTAGGCAGACCCCATTCTGCTCTCCTCGGGGGCAACCCCACCTCCCTAGTGGCTTCTCTGAAACAGGACCCTGAGGGATGCTGAGATATTCACACTCACTCTAACCAGTGCCTCCAAGTCCAGTATATCAGCCCAGGGGAGTCACAGAGATGCCCTCGGGGCTCACACAGAGTCCATTACAGCACACTTATAGGCACTGTCCAACAGGGACGGGTTATAAACTTATACTCCTCCGTGTGGGACAACACCAGACAGCTGTTAAATGTGCTCTTTGTATATGAATGTTTAAAGACAAGGAAAATGTACATGTATAATACTATTAAAGTGGGCTTTAAAGCGGCCTAAGATAGTATCCTAAGATGAAAACAAAATTTATCTGCACTAAAAGATAGGCAAAAATGCCCCCCCAAAGAAATATTTCCTATCTCTAAGAAAAGGCTATAAGTGGTTTTATTTATTCTTCATTTAAATGGATTTCCATAATTTTCTACAATTAGTGTGCAATATTTTGGGAATTAAAAGCAAAATGTTTAAAAACTCATTTGTGACTAAGCCCGAAGGTAGTAGGGCTAGAGCCCAGAAGGTCCTGGGCCTGGGATATCTGCTCTGGCCTAGCCTGACCCAGCCCCCTGGCACTGGGCTGCTCCTCAAGACAAGGGCACAAAGCCCTTGGTGGCGCCCAGGTACCTATTTTTGCCCAGAGTATTAAGAACCAAACGAAGGAACATTCCAGCTCTGCTTGCATTCACGTTCCTTATGGCACGTTCACAGGAACACAGAGGAGTCATGACATCCAGAGTGGCCAAGCCCTCACCACACACCTGGTACCTGCTCCATGGCTGGCTCCAGCTGTCCCACAGGCATGGACTGTGGGCCTATCTTGTGCTAGGCACTATGCTGGCCACCTTGCCCTTGAGAGGGCTCATCCAGGGCTGGTCTTTGAGCAGCTCTGTTTAGAGGGAGGGGCAATACCTAGAAGACACCCACAAGGACCAGGACAGAGCAAGGGTCAGGTCAGTTCTGCAGAGACCTTAAATGAGCCCTCCAGGACAAGCAGGCAGGAGCAGGCAAATCAGGGGGTAGTATCTGGGTGCTCCAGTAGGAGATGTGCCCAAAAAGGCCAGCACTGTGGCCAGGAAAGTGTAGGTGGCCAGGATGTGACTGCTGGAAGGAGGGGACACAGGAAGGAAGATGAGGCTGAGTGAGCAGCAGAGCCAGCTTAGGAGGCAGACTTGACCCTATACAACAGTAGTTCTCAACCTGTAGGAGAGAACTCAACCCACAGGAACTACATTAAAGGCCCGCAGCATTAGGATTGTTGAGAACCACTGCTATAGAATATAGGGTAAAGAACCAGCAGGACTGTGTGGGGACAGGAATGGGTTGGGGAGACCAGGAAGGGCCAGCAGCCCTACTGGGGAAAGTGAAGGCCTCAACAAGAGCAGGCATCTGAGTGAGGCTCAGGTGCCTGGAGAGCCAGGAGGTCACCAAGTGTATGTGAGGCAGAGGGCTGCAGGGGATGGCCTGGTTTGTGGCTGGGGGCCATGGTGGCAGTGCCACTTCCCAAGGTGGGGATATGGGAGGGGAAGGTGCGATATGAAGCATGACTCTCCCTATCACAGGTGCTTATCGCCAGCACTATGGACAGGTGCTTCAGGCCATCCTGCAGTGCAGGCATTTCTGAGGTTCTCCTCTGTGACCAGCTCCCAAGGCCTGTCCAGCCCTGGCCTGGGATGAGCGAGGGCAGCCCAAGTCAGGGTGCACCCACACACTCTCCCATCCTGGGGAGGGAGGTGAGATGGGTCTCCCAGCCAACCTTTCCTGTGTCTGGGGGAGGATGGTGGGGCAGACAGGAAGAAGGGGGCTGGAATATTGAGGAACTCTGCTCTAAATCCCTGGTTAGACACAAAGGGGCTTGCCTCTAGGGGACAGAAGTAAGCAGGAGAAAAGGGTGGGCTCTGGATTGCCCAAAGGGTCCCCTCATGGGGCTGCAGAAAAGGAGTAGCCAGCACATAGGGCACCCAGGGCATAGCTCTGAGAGTGGGTGATGGATTCCGACAGAAGGGAAAGCCCTTTACAGTGTAAAGCCCTGGGCTAAATGCCAGGGGTCATTGTCCAAGGTGAGGGGAGGTGGGGTTTCTCTGGGGAGGAGGGAGGCTGAGGTCTGGACCAGGCTTTACCCTGACCAGCTGTGTGGTCCTGGGCAGGCACCAAACCCCCCTGAGCCTGAGCTTCCTTTTGTGTCAAATGGGGACTACAACTCCTACCCTTAAGGCTCCTGAGAGGGTTAAATTTTCAGGGGATCAGAGAGCAGATTGTACAAATGGAATTGCTAGTTCCTTAGAATTTCATAACATCAAGTACAAAAAATAGGGTGGAAGGACCGTGCTCCATCACACCCAAAAGCGCTGGTCAGACTCTCCAGAAAGTTTCCATCTATCAGATCAAAAATTAACGATCCCCAGAGCCAGGTTTATACCTGGGCAGGGTCACACCAGGCAGGGTCCAGGGGCTGCCACTGTACCCATTCCCCCATAGCAAGGAGAGCCCTTAGCAGGAGAGGAACTGCCACGGGGCTCCTAAGTGTGCTATGGGGGTTCAGCGTGACCCAGAAGTTGCCCCTCAGGTAGCCGGGACCCTCCTGGAGGACTGACCCTCCCATCCCTCCGGAGCCCCACCCAGGGACCCAGGCACTTCCAATGGCCCGGCAGCGGGCACAGGGAGGGACAGGCCTGGGTCCCAATAGCCGTGGGGGAAGGGCATGACAGGGCAACTGGCGCCGGCCGGCGGGTTCAGCACTGGGGACGGAGGAGGCGGCCGCGCCCCCGACCCGCCCGGCCCCTGCCCCGGCCTACCCGCCGCTGTTTCTAGGGCTTGTTTCCCGCTGCAAGGGGCTTGCAGACAAGGCTCGCGGGCATGGATGTTCTTGAGGCCGCGGTGCCCACGATCACGGGCGCTGAGCTGAGACCCAGGGGCGCGCACCCCCGGGAACACCCGGCTAACCAGGCCAGGTCGCCTTAGGCGTCACAGAGTGGGTGGGACCCCCAGACCCCCAACTTCGGGGAACTTGCCAGGGACTTTAGGACGAGCCACCTTCAGCTCAGAAGGAGAAACTGAAGCCGGAGGCAGACGGCAGCTCTGTGCCCAGCCCCCTGCAAGCTGCCCACAGCCGCCGCGCGACCGCCCCCTACTCCAAACTACTCACCAGCCCGGGAGTGGGCCGCGCGCGCCCCCACAGCGCTCTCGGGCCTCGGACCGACCTCAAAGTTGCTCCGGAGCAGCTCCCGAGCGCCAAACACGCGAATGCCGAGAGAGGAGCTGCTTGGGTACCCTAGAGCCGGAGAGCTCGGCCCCCAGCGCACAGGGGAGGGGCAAGGGCGGGTCCTCCCACTGTCCGCCACTCCCGACGCGGCCCCCGTATACGCAACGGCGTCTCGATCCGCTCAGCGGTCGGCGATCCCGCCAATTACTGCCCGTCTCCGCCAATCATGATGCGCCTCGCAGGGCTACGGCCGGCGGACCTCCAGCGCAGCTGGGTCGGTGAACGGCAGGAGGGCGGGTCCAGCCCTCCCACAGCGAAAGTTTCCGAGCGGACTCGGGCGCCAGCGCAGCCCGCCCCGCCTCCAGGACGTCCCACTGTTCAGAGTACTGACTCTGCTTCTGCGTGTAGCAGGTGGTTGAACTTGTGTGCAAGGCTCCAGCCACCTTTCGCACCTGCCACTTTGGCCCCAGGGTCCCCAGATTCCTTATATTTTTTTTTGTTGTCGTATTAAAAACGTTTTGAGCGCTTACTGTGCGCCAGACACCTTAATTCTGGCGCTGCTGGAGGTCCAAGGAGCCTTGACATAGCAGCAGGGACGGAAGAGTTGGTCGGTTTAAATGTGTACATGCAGCCAAGTGCTGCTTTGAATGCATAACATCAAATGCAATGTAACAAGCTTTCCACAGGGCATTTGTGAGATCATTTAAAAGTAGGTGTTAGCCCAGGGAGTGATGCAAGGCTCAGGCAGTTTGGAGCCCTCTTCTTTTTAGAGATGAGGGGCAGGTCTGTCCTTGAGACAGGGCCTGGGGTATGTAAGGCCATGTCTGCTCTATCTCTGGTTCCCACAGCCAGCCTGAGATACTTGTCATTGCAGAAACTGTGGCTCCAAGTGACTCCCCAAGATAGCATTTACTAACAAATATTGGGAACAAATATTCCAGAGGTATTTAGAGATGAATCCAGACCATTGAACACACCACCTCAGAGACTTGAGTCGAAGTGGCATCGCTCACGTCGGTCACCTCATTTGATTCCCAGCTGCCTCCACCCTGTGAAGCTCACAGAGGAGGAAGGGATCTGTCGGGGAGCAGCCCCAGCTCTGCCAAGAGCTGGTCTGGGACTTCCACATGTTTCATACATTCAGGTTTTTCATCGCAACCCCAGCAATCCAAAGAGGCAGGTGGCACTGGGCTCATCTAATCGAGGCTTAGACATAGTTATTTGGCCAAACTCACAAAGACTTCCTCCTACCTTATAATACACTTATTGTAAAAGAAAAAGAGAATTACAAAAAGTAGAGAAGAAAAAAATCACTCAAAGATCATCACTGTTCGCATTTAGGGGCCCATGCACATTTAAGGAAGAGTTTCCAAAAGTCCTTATGAGTCACTCACTGGATGGATGTGTGTGTGACTATTTCCTTAGGGACCCAAAAGCAGAAGCCCTGGATCCTAATGGCCTTCTCAAATCTATAGTTAAAATTTACCAAAACAAGTTTCTCAAAGTGGTTTCCTATTTACCTCTGAGAGGGGACACCCTGCTTTAGGAATTCTTTTTTTGTTTATTTGTTTAACCCCTTCCTGATATGGAAAACTAAGAATTTCCTCTGCAATTGTAATTTGCATTTCCATGGTAACTAATGAGATTGGCTATTTCATGTTTCTTAGTCGCAAGTAGGACTTTCTCTTTTATTTATCTAGTGGAACTTGGAGGCTCTAAGAAAACCAATTAGATGGGTGTCTTTTACTTCCCACCTCCTCATAGTCACCCCCAACCTCTCCTTTGGCTGGAGGGCTGAGGGGTCTCCTGAATGGCTCCCTCAGTCCACCCTAGGCATCTAGCAGCCCTATGAGGCTGAGAGCTGGACCCCACCCCCACCCCCCAGCAACTCCAGGGCGCTGTTAACTCCTTCCTCCTTGTCCACAAGGACATATATGAGCTTGTTAGCCACCACCTGCTGGTTGGCCACTGCCCAGGACTCCACACAGCCTGGTCCTTAGGACACTGAGGACACAACCCCAGAGAGGCTAAGACATTTTATAAACCCTCTGAGGGGTCTCAGTAAGCAGAAGGAAGAGGACAGATTGAACAATTCTTCTTGTAAAGGTCTAAGAGAAGAGAGAAAATTCAACAAAAATGTAGAAACTGCTTAAGGAGCCTCAATCAGACCACAGCAACATTTAACATTCTCTGTGAAGCTTAAAAACTAAAAGAGCAGCCAAGGTGCACTGGCTCATGCCTATAATTCCAGAACTTTGGAAGGCCAAGGCAGGAGGATTGCCTGAAGCCAGGAGTTCAAGACCAGCCTAGGCATCATAATGAGACTCTCATCTCCACAAAAATTGTTTTTTAAAATAAAACAAAAAACCTGAAAAAGCAGTAGTAAAGTTCAGAAAGAGAACAGTGGAAGTGAGGACAAATTAGCAAACTAAAATTGATATGTGGAATAAATCTTTTAGCAAACTAAAAGATAATGTGGAATAAATACCATATAATGTGTAGGAAACACATATGAATACCATCAGGAAAAAACACCAAAGACTGTTCCAAGAGGTGTGTCATGCAGAGATTTAGGAACTCCAGAAAAAGCTGGGGGTGGAGTGGGGTGGCCGAGATTAACATGATACTGGGGAAAAACGTCCGTCCGGAGCTAAAGCTATGCTGTGAGCTCCAGAACCCAGGGATAGAGAGATAGTCTCTCAGCATTGAAGAAAGGGCAGGTCATTTGCAGAGGAAGGAGAATCCTAGTGATACTAGGTACCTAGAGAACTTTGGAACAAAGTCCAGGGACTCTGTTTATCATCAAGGATCCTTTCCCAGACAGTGGGATTCATCTGTCAGGACAAGAGAAAGATATTTATCCACCATGGCAAGACAGACAGAGGGCCACAACCATGTTCGCTTTCAGAGGAAAATACCCACAGAGTTTCCCTTTTACCAAGACCACTTAATCACAGTGGAGATCTCAAGCTAGAGCAGATGCCCAGAAGGAAAGTGTGGTTGAGCAATGTACCTTGCAAAATATATAGTATGTTTTCATCTAAGTGTGTCTGTGATTTTGCTCTATACTTGCTAAGTAAGTATTCCTCAAATATAAGCCATACACTACAAGGGAAATTCGTATTAGCCTGCAACTAAAAAATTCCAAGAAAGCCTCCTGGGGGACAGCTGTTACATTTACTTCTGATACGTTCACACGGCAGCATCAGTTTACCTATGACTATTAGGAATTGGAAAGCAGCAACTAGTGGAAAGGTAGCAGAGTAGAACTTCTCAGTTAACAGGTAGAAGTCAGGGGAGGGGTGGAGGAATTCAATAAGGAAACAGAATTTTGGAAGGGGGAAAAGGGGGAAATTCCAGCAAGAGGACAGCTTACTAAAGTCTACATAAAATGAAAAAATAAAACCACAGATTCAGCTTTCATAATAAACATGAATGTACTGAATGCCCCATCCAAAGCCTGTAAGATTGAGTAAAAAATAAAATCCAGTTAAATGCTATTTATGAAAACACCAAAAATGTTGACAAATAGAAGCTCAACGTAAACATTCAAAAGGTGGAATTTAAAAAGAAAACCAAAATGGCAAATTGATATGGGATAAAGAAGAATTCAGGGCAGCAGCACTCACAGGAACAAAAGGGGTAATAGTGCCAGGCACAACCCACAAAAATTTAACTGTCATAAATTTGCACATGCTGGAAAATCTAGAAGCCAAATGCTCGGAGCAATAACTGTGGGAAATACTACAGAACAGTGAAAGCAGCTCTGGTGGAAGATATAACTCGCTGTTAGTGCTGCCTTTTCTGGGAAAGCTGTCCTCATTCCCCTCAGCTCCCCAAGCTGAGCCTGCACCTTGCTGTTACGTGTTGAATGAATGAATGAATGAATGAGTCACCCTGGGCAAGGACCCTGTACAAACTCTTTCGTGCCTACAGGACAGTGTCCAAACTCCTTAACGTGACATCCAAATATATCCCCCACAACTTCAGTCCTCTGATTTCGTCCTATGATTTTCAGATTCTGTGTCCCTGTTCTCCTGATTCCTCCCCTCTCCTAGTGAAAGCCTGCTTCCACTGACTCAATAAACAGTGACTTCCTACCTGTGCCAGGCTCTGGGCTGCATGCCAAATGTATGAAGAAAATGAAGACAGAGAGTGAGTGAGTTATCTTCTGAAGGAGAACCGGAGGCATTTAGGACAAACAATGACCCTCATTAGGTCCTAGTTCCTGGAACCTGCAAATGTTATATCATTTGGAAAAAAGAGTTTTGCAGATGTGATTAAGTTGAGGATCCTGAGATAGCAGTCAGCCTGAATTTTCCAGGTGGGCCCTAAGTCTAATCCTAAGTGTCCTTGTAGGAGAGAGACAGAAGCAGATTTGACCACACACTGAGAAGTTGGTGTGAGTTGGAGCAGAAAGAGATTTAAAGACACTGATGTGGCTGCAAGTCAAGGAATGCTGGCAGCCACTGGGAGCTGGAGGAAGCGAGGAATAGAGTCTCCCTGATTTTGGCCCAGTAATAATGATTTTAGACTTCTGGCTCCCAGACTATGACAGAATCAATTTCTGTTGATCAAGCCACTGAGTTGTGGCAATGTGTTACAGCAGGCACAGGAAACTAACATAATCAGTCAAGTGACATTGTGGGCACATCGTGGCCTTGCTATGGTCTGATATTCAGCCGAGGTCCAGCTCGGGTGGGTCATGGAAATCCTAGCTCTTGGCAAGGGCAGTGTGGGGTAAATGAGGCTTGGCATTTAAACAGATACTTAACAAAATCAAGGCGTCCCGAATCACCCTTTTAGTGGTCCACAGAGGATCAACAAGCAGTCCCCAAATGACTGGGCTGAATGTTCCAGAGACTCCTTGGCTCTCCAGGCACTCGCAGCACTTGGTGGCCAGTGTGGGAGTTTTTAGCCCACTGGGTTAGTGATATAGGAACAGCATAGGAACAGTGATATAGGACACGTTGGCTACACTGCTAGACTGCTGGGACAAGGCAACCCTAAGACCAGACCCAGAGATCTGCATTTTAATAGGCTCCCTGGGGACTTTGATACACAGGGACATTTGT